AGGTGAGGTGTTTTCTTTTAAAATCGGGGTAAACATTCTCCGGTCTCAAATATCCCAACCGTGAATGAACTCTGTCCGCGTGCCTGAACCATGTTGTAGTCATGACTTTTTGAATATCAGACTCATCAAGGTGCTTACGATCGAAATTATGTAAAGAGCGAGCGAGCATTTCAAACATTTCCCGTCTTAGTGTTTGAGCAAAGAAAAGCCCTGTCTCCGCACACTTCAAAAGCACAAACGTTAGCAAATTTTTATCCCGCTCACAGTTGAAATGATCAATCAGCAAACAAAAATGTCTCTGCAATCTTGGGTTAAGGAACATACTAGAAACGGATTTACTCCGGTTAAAATGTATGAGCATGAACTTGATGAACGTTTTGAATATTACGATTTTTGTGTCGAATGCCAATTCAAACGTATTCAAACTGGATATTATTTCCAGCGGATCACAATATTGCGCACTCAATTCGCTCAAGAGTTTGACTGGATAGCATGGAGGCATGATCACTTTAATCCACTAGAACCGAACCCTTTATTACCACGATGCGTTGTGGAGATCTGCTGTTTTTCCTCCACTAGTCGCACTGAAGCCGATTCATGGAACACAATTTGAGCTATCCTATCCCCACGGTTCACGGTAAAAGACTCGTTTCTGTTCAGATTTAACAATACTACACAAACTTCGCCACTGTAGTCGCTGTCGATGAGTCCGTGAAACACAAGTACACTAGACTTCAACGTCAGACCAGAGCGACTCCGTATTTCCGCATAAATGTTGCTCGGTAGGTTGAGTTTGAAACCGCATGGTATCAGTGCGGAAGAGTTTGGTGCAACGGTAACACTCTCCTGAATATTAGCTCTGATATCGTATCCAATAGACTCTACTGTAGCTCGGGTGGGAAAATCCAAATCTTTAGCGTTTTCTAAGCGATAGATTCCAATAGTTGTCGGTGCCATCAATTATAAAACGTATTTAGTCTCCAACTCAGCTCTTAAGGACTCCGAAAGATGCTGAAATTTGAAAATATAATCCAGATTCAATTTCTTTCTGTATTTACGAATGAAGTTCTCGGGGAGTTTTTGGTACTTAGATATGAGGTTGAAATTAATGAAATCCTGCCATTCCTCGATGAAATCTACTGGTAAATCCTGATATCGAGATATAGTGTCCCAATCATTCCGAATTGCCATCTGATGATTCCGTAGAAAATCCATGGAAACTCTCTTATCCCGAAGGATGTATGTAAAATTCACTAGGTGACTGTATTTACTCAAAAAATCTTCGTTCAAATTTGAAGAATTTTTTGAGAGCTCATCCCAATCAATGAGATGGCTTATATGATTCACAAACTGAGTAGATAGATCCGAAAATTTACTCTCTTCCTGCAAAATTTTGACGATGTACACATCCTTCATTAGTTCGGACCAATCGATATATTTTTGAAAAGTTTTCAAACTCATTTTCTTTTCTTTTTTTTATCCCGCACTTTTTTTTCAACAAATTTACGATAAAGTATTTCACTTTATTCTAAGGAAAAAATCGCTCTGATAGCTCATTTTATAGGATTTTTTTTCTTAAGAAAATATCAGAATCAGAAGGACTCTCAGGACTGCCCGTCAGATTTATTCCTTAAAGCGATCGACTAGCTCTTTGTGTACTTTCTGGAGGAGAAGTTTATGATTTTCATAATAAAAATAGCCGTAAGGAATTGTTTCATGCGAATTAACAGCGATGCGTTTGTCGTCGTAGGATGACAATGTTTTTTTCCTCGATTTTTGAGTGTAGAGAATGTGATTCCGACTGAGGATATTGAATTGATAGTGGTAAAATTCCTTTTTCTGTAAAAGACATGTCAAGTAGTCGTCCATCGTAATTTCGTGTTGTAGTATTGCTCTTTTAACACCCTTCGCTCGTTTCTTCTCATAATCATTGAATAACTTCAAACAATACATTTTGGCTCTCAATCCAACCATAAGTCTGATCGGTTGTCCGTTAAATTCTTCAGTGAAAACTCCTGGGACTTTCTTGTTTTTTTCCGAGTACAATTCATGATTTTTTGGATACCCTGAAGTGTCAAAATATTCCATATTATTTCCTATGAATTTGTAAACATCGTCCCGACACTCAATCATCTCGGAATCGGTATCCTGTAAAAGTAGGTTGAATGAATCCTTAAACTTTGCCTGTAATATATCGTAATGGAATTCGTACAGTTTACATTTAGAAACGTCTAAAATAGTTTGAGCTATATGGATTGGTGTGTTGTGTTTGATATATTTCTTAATACGGTGCACAGCCGCAAAATTCTCGTCGTAAACTGTTGATCTTTTAAAAAAATTATCACAAGCTAGCTTACGAAAACGTTCGGTTGTGGTACATAACTCCAAATCAATCCTCTTTTTAGTGTTCATCATACACCGACCATAAATTGCATTGTTGCAAAATTTAAAAATTGTTGATTCGAATTCATTTTTTGCAGCTTTTCTGAGAGCTATGGTTTTGTCAATGTACGGTTTTATTATTCTAGCTTGTGTAAAGCTCATAGCAGAATGGATTTTTTTCAATACCAAACCATGCTTAATGGCTAATTTAAGCAATCTATAATGAATAACATAATTACTTTTGTCGTATAGTGTGCATAATAACTTTGGTTGTTTAGAGTATCCGTTTGGAGGTATCATGTTCTCAGGACAGAAGGGAAAGTCTCGATGTTTTTCATGGATTGTTGAAGGGTAGGATAGATCTACGGCTAAAATCCATCCTACGCTACTGTTTATCTCGGTTTGTTCGATGTCGAAATCATCGATTTCTTTTTGAGTTAAGAATTTGAAGTTGCCGGTGGGCACTGGTTCTTGTAAACTCCACGAGTAGAGTGAAACCGCGTCAAAAAGCGCTATGAACGTGGAGTCTGCGGGGTCTACGTCATCCCCCAAATATTTATTTTTAGCTTCGCTAAATTTCTTGATGCAATTAGCAACACCGCCTCTTATCCCGTGTGATACAAAATTGATTTGGTTTATATCAGTCATTAATTCAATTTTAATTTGACTCACATACAACATAGCGTCATAACTGAAATGAGGAAGACTCAAATAATTTGCCACGTCAAGACGGAACTCTTTGTGCAGTTTATACCGAAAATTTTCGAACAAATCACTCAGGAGAAGCGTGTCTAACAAATTATATATATCTGAAAATTCTCCGATATTACGACATCCGGCTGCCTTGTAAAACTCAAAAGCGTAATTATATTGTTCTTCGGTAATCGTTTGTGATTTCAAGCAACTATAAAAATGTTCTCTTTTCGGGAACTCGCTGATATCGTACTTGTCCAGAGAATCCAACCATTCGTACGGGAAGTACTGCTTACCTTTAACGTAAGGTAGTAGATTTTTGGGCAAATGTTTTTTTACATGAATCAAATCTTCATCTTCCAGCATGCTAGCTAATTTTTCCAAAGATGACTGCAAGAATTTGAAAGAATCTATGAATTTGTATTGGAATCCGTTTTCAAAATATACATTAATGGATAAGAACTTCTCTTCGGTTGTCGGTATCACATTGATTTTGCGTTGTTTTTTGGCGAGACCTTTGAGGACAGGATGACTGTCATAAATTAAATTATGAATACAGACAAGGACAATTTTAGGTCGAGCCATTTTCAGGTTACAAGGGACATGAGCTACTCCTATAATTTCACCTGTATAGTGGGAATGGTCGATACATTTGGTTTCTCCGAATTTAAACATTTTTTCGCAGATATGACAGAATTTGGCTTGCTCCAACAAGATGACTCGTTCCTCATTTGTCAACGCGTATGGTTCGTTAACTTGGTAATAAAGAGATGTTTCTTTCACTTCAGCTTCAATATGATCTAGTAATTTATCGATTGCCTCCGGTCCTCTGTAAGTGATAGGTTTTTTCGTATCATCGAAAATGCTCACTGTGTAAGAACACCAGGAAGTTACTATGTGTTCTTGTATGAACGTAGAGTTACTACTAATTTTCTTATCAATTTTTTTCAACATGCATTCAAGGTCGACATAAATAATTGTGGGCACGAACTGTTTTGCTCTGTAGTTTGTGAACTCAACCCATTTTGTTTTCTGTGTAGGAAGGATATTTTTCCCTGTAGGATTTTCAGAACACAGGAGTACATGATAGTCTAGTTTTTTTCTTGACCAAAAGTGTGAGAGACATCTCTTGCAGAATACCACTTTATTCCCACGGATATATGATGTAAATTTTTGGTCTCTACATAATATGTCTAGATTTTTTATATCATTGTAAAATATACCATGATTCGTCCTAATTTGAAGCAAATCTTTGTGTATGCTACGAAGTTTGTTCGTGGTTTTTACCGGAAAAACTTTCCCATTCTGATCGCAAGTATAAATGTTGACCGAGACATTTGGATTTTTCCTCTCAAAGCTTTTGATGTGATTGATTTGGATAAATCGATTATTTGAATAAATGTCATCCCAAATGAAAGACATTTCTTCATGACCGTTTTCAACCGCGTATTTAAAGGAAATCTCTGGTGGGCACAAACTTTGAAGCACGCAATTTTTCTTCAGTATGGTTGTGGGGATGGTATTTTCAATGTGTGATCTTGACATTGGTGTAGCCGTCTGAGCACGACATGATTTTGTGTGAGAAGCGAGTTGAGTTGACGTTTTAAATTTTAGAAAACACCTTTTACATACTTTGAATAATTTTCCAGACTCAAAGTATCTCATCATTTTCGAAAAATCTTTGATGTACGCGTAATGTTCGTTTTGAATGAAAAGAATATCCCTATGATCAACTAATTCTCGGTCAGCAATGCGCGTGGGATGTATAGTTTCCTTTTCCGGGTCAAAATTAAAAATATTAATGGAAATATTGTTCCTTGATTCGAACTCTGAGATATTTTCAATTGTCATAGGCATTTTTGGCCAAACATATTTTCTCATCAACTCCTCCGTATATGAGCTAATTCGTTGTGGACGTGTTACGAAAGGGGCTAAGACAGAGTAAATAAAACAGTTTTTATCATTCGCGTAATCAGCACTTACGATGTACTTGCAATTTTTGATTTTCCTAATATCACAAATCCCGGAGCCGCTCAAGGGGGTGAATACAATTAAGCTTAAAAAAGCTTTGTTGCATGAAATCAATGTCCACTGACTTTTATGTGTGAAAAATTCCGTTTCTTCCCTTAAAATATCCTGCTGCAATTTGTCGTACACTTCAACAATTTCACTCTCATTCATCAGTCTATAAGTCTTAGTTGTATGAGATATTGTCATCAAATCCTCCAGAACCAAATGAATGTAAACGCATTCCAATTCCAAATATGTCTTGAAATTAACGGTTGGGTTAGTTCTAAGCGCGTAAGCGAAAAAATCGGTAATTTCTTTTTCCATCGACGTCAAAAATCCGGGTATATCAATGACACAGTCTTGTGTTGTGATGAGAAAATTGAAAACTGATTCAAAAGCTGAGCCAATCAGTTGAATCATTTTTTAAAAGTGTGATAATGTCTCCAATCGTGAGATCTATAATGCTTATTCCAAACTGCAATTTTTTCCTCTACGGAAAATGGAGGCTGGACTCCGTAATTAATGAAAAACTGGTCGGGAAACACGACTACTTTACACCAATTAGTACCGCCGGGAGATTTAGACCTTTCTCGTGTTTTGATGTCAGAGGGTCGTTCAGATAACACACAAATATCGTCAGGAAGACAGTCAAATGGAGCTTTAATTCCTTCGGGTAAGCCACGAAAGTGTTGTTGTTCCTCTACAACTTTTTTCCTTTTTTGGGGAGAAATAATCGCTATTTTTTTCTCGCTACGAGGTGCACACAAACTCACTGCAAAAGTAATACATGAGGTATCATTTTTTGATGGAATTTTGATTTTAAATGTAAGTATTGCAACAGCGTTTCACTGCTAATATTTTTTTATTCAGTGTTGAGTTGAAATTTTTTCACTGATCGATAAATTAAAACCACAAAATATCTCAAAATTTAGTTGGTGCCTTCAATTCTTATCCAAGTATAATTTGGCTTAATGAATACACATTTTCCGGTCCAATTTTCCCTCGGAAAAGACAAGAATTGAGGCTCTCATCGTTCTTTCGGTATCAGGTCTGTAAAGGTTTGTAGACGGTCGAGAGGTTGTGCTGGTGTTGTCGGATCTCCCATGTTTACATGCATATAGGCAGGACTGGGTACCCCCCTCTCAGATTTATGATCGTTCTCACTATATCCTGCGCAGTTGTCAAGTATGAAATTTTTAATGTCATGAACAACTTGCTGTATAGGTTTTTCTCCATCAAATATAGCAACGTCTTCAGTATTTAACCATTTCTCATGAAGCTCGTGTAGTTCGACTAATTGGTATAAACTGATCGTCATCTCTTCTTTCCTATTCCTTTTGAGTATTCTTTCGTAACACTGCAGTGGTGAACAGCGAATGTAAATCCGTTTGACGGGTTCTGTTACATTGTAGTCAGTCTTAAATAATGATAAATAACCGTGTAATATCTCACTCTCCGCTGGTTGCAAAAACGAATGTTTCACAGCGTAAGGTATGAATATCTTTTCCACTGAGTCTAGAGACCTTTCACCGACTACAATGTTGCATTCATGATTTAACCTCCGTTGCATCAAAGTTAACATTACTGCACTTTGAAAAGTAAAACACCATCTAGTGGGGCTGTCATAGTATTCTTGAAGTAAGTTCCCGCCCGCCCAATCTGTCCATTTCTCAACGGGTTCTGGATATATCTTGCAATTTATCTGCTCATGTAGATATTTCAAAACAGTACTCTTTCCCCCTCCGATATTGCCTTCTAACTGAAAGACTTGCATTATGCGGGCTTATAAAATGATCTGGCAAAGGGTCCTTTCTATCAGTTTGTGATTTTGCACTCCACCACGGTACCTCTGCAAAGAGAGCATTCGAATTTGTCAGTGTAAACCTCGTCTTACTCCGTAAGTCATGTTATTTCATTGTTATTAAGATTAATCCTAAGAGAGATTCCATAATTACTGTTCTACAATTTAGTGTATGGCACTCATTTTCAAAAAAAATTTAAGCATTTTACGTATTATTTTTTTAAAAAAAAATAATTTATTTTCGATATATTAATTTGTCGATAAAACGAAGGAGAAAAAAACTTACTTGGTATTTAACGGCGGAGCGTAGAATTGCGGGTTGCACTAAGAGCACTTTTTCACTATGGTTCAAAGGAAATCTTTGACTGAATAGAAAATGGGATAGCGACCAC